ATTCGAATCTATTGGACAGAGAGTTAGATTGACCGTGATTGTGCGAAGACCTTGTGAATCTTGCGATTATTAAACACGTTAACTTCAAATTTGTGACTTGTCTTGGATACTGTCTCCAGTGGCCGGAGGAGTCCAGCAAACGTGGCGACCACGATGGGAGGATTGTGAGTATAATTTGTGTCCTCAATTTACCTTTTAGCTCTCGTTTACATCTGCAACGAAGCCTACGCCTAATTAACCTCGAAATCGAACGAATCATGGAAAACGCCGAATCTACTCTGGAAACAAAACTTAAGCAACTTAAAAGGACAGAGGATAAAACTGATGGCATACTTACTAGCGGAAAGCAATCTACTATATCTAGACAATTGACGAACTTAAAAGAACTTCTCACAGAAGTAGAGAACGCACGAAGAACAGTTGAAGGAGAGAAGATAGCTGCGGAAGTTAGCGATGACGAAATCAGCACGTGGAATGATGAAATTAACGCAAGAATAGAAGAAGCGGATGGTCGGATAGAAACCCTCGAAGAATGGTTGATGAAACGGAAAACGGAAGCAGAAAACCAAGAGCGAGAAGAAAAGATGCAGTTTGAAATTAAGCTTCAAGAGACAAAGCTAAAATTGCAAGAGAATTTTCAGCTCAAAACAGGAAACCAAACCCTTTCCGCGGAAACGCCTGTCAGTCAAGCAAAACTACCCAAGCTGGTTATTACCAAGTTTAACGGAACATATGCCGACTGGCCAAGATTCTGGGGGCAATATTCCGAATCCATCGACAAAACAGACGTGCCGCCTGTTACTAAATTCACGTACCTGCGTGAATTACTGGACGTCAAAGTTAGGAGAACAATCGAAGCGTTGCCACATTCAGCTGAAGGATACAATCGAGCCTTATCAATCCTTAAAGACCGATTCGGAAAGCATAGCGAAATAGTAAAGGCCTACGTAAAGGAAATTCTTGAGCTGCCTCACACACCCACCGGAAACCTCAAAAGAATTCACGAATTCTACGACAAACTTTCCTATAACGTGCAGTCCCTCGACTCACTCAAATCACTTCATGAAGTGAATGGGATGGTTTCGTTGACGCTCGAAAAACTGTCGGCAATCAGAGGGGACCTTGTACGAAACGATCCAGATTGGGAGACCTGGGATTTCGTGAAGTTCACCAAAGCGCTCCGCCAATGGACACGTCGAAACCCGATTGATAACTTCAGATTAGAAGATCCGTTGCCACCCAGGAGACGAGACCGCACGTTCCAAACTCAGCAGAAAAGGACACGCAAGTGTGTGTACTGTCAAGCAGAAAACCACAAGCCATCAGAATGTGGTAAAATCACATCACCGACAGAACGCAAAGAATTTCTGGCAATCAAGAGACTTTGTTTCAATTGCACAGGACCTCACAAATCGTCGGAATGCAAAAGTACCCCGACATGTCAAAATTGCAGTAAACGACATCATACATCAATCTGCAGCTCACCAAAGGAAGTGAAAAGCGAAGGAGTTTTGACAGCTCATCACCCAGAACACAACGAAGTCGTCTATCCTATCATTCTTGTGGAGATTGACGGAATAAAAACACATGCTTTGCTTGACACTGGTGCCGGAAGTTCGACTAAACTTATCAGTCTTCTCAACAAAGGGCCTAAAGAAACAGTGACCAAAAGAATAGATATGATGCTTGGCTCTTCAACCACAAACGTTGAAATTTATCCAGCAACCCTTGCAGCAGTGAACGGAAAATTTGACATGAACATTGAATTAACGAAAGTCCATAAGCCTCAACTCCTTACACTCGACAACCCTAATTACGAAAATCTGCTAAGTAAATACAGTCACCTCAAGGGAGTCAAGATTGAAGATAACGACACAAGACCTCAAATTCCAATTCACGTAGTCTTAGGCGCCAGCGAGTATGCCACAGTCAAAACAAGTACCGCACAAAGAGTGGGAAAACCTGGGCAGCCTGTGGCCGAGAGAACGCTCCTTGGATGGACCTTAATGTCACCGGGAAAAGAAGATGTTGGTAGTCCTGTGCTCCTAACGCAGTCAGCCTTAACAGATTATGAACAACTGTGTGCCCTGGACGTACTTGGCCTCGCAGACACTCATGAGAACGACCAACAGGCAGTTTACGAAGAATTCAAAGAACAGCTTGAGAGAAACCCAGCCGGCTGGTACCAAACAAGGTTGCCATGGAAAGGGACTCACCCTACACTGCCAACAAATGAAACTGGAAGTAAGAGAAGATTGGAGCAATTAGTCCGGAAGTTAGAGCGAAATGGTCAATACGAAGAGTACGACTGCATAATTCAAGAACAACTTCAACAAGGAATTGTGGAGCCAGCACCTGACATTCCAACTGGAAAAGAGTACTATATCCCGCATAAAGGAGTTGTCAGAGAGAACGCTGAAAGTACCAAGCTCCGAATTGTGTACGATGCGTCAGCAAGAGAGAAAGATAACCAGCCATCCTTAAATGACTGCCTCCACCCAGGGCCTCCACTCCAGAACCGTCTGTGGGACATCCTCGTGAGATCGAGATTCTAGCCAATACTTCTAACGGGTGATCTTAAGAAGGCATTTCTGCAAGTTCGAATAAAGAAGGAAGAACGAGATTCCTTACGTTTCCACTGGAAACCCCCAAGCAGTTCCAAAACCACCATCCTTCGTTTCACCCGAGCCCTATTCGGAATGACGTGCTCACCATTCCTCCTTGGTGGAGTTATCAATGAGCATCTCAACACTTGGGAAAGTCATCACCCCGAGCTGATTAAAGAAATTCGTGATGGTCTATATGTTGACGACCTAATGACCGGTGGCGAGACCGTCGAGCTCACTGCAGTGAAGAAAGTAATCACCACAGAAGTGTTTAAAGACGCCACATTCACCATTCACAAATGGCACTCTAACGCCTCAGAACTAGAAACAACCAGTGGCACATCATCTGAAGAGTTGTCCTATGCTAAACAGCAACTTGGAGGAACAAAACCCTCAGAAGGCAAACTGTTAGGCCTTCCCTGGAATAGAGAAGAAGACACGATTAGCGTCATCATCCAGAGCGACCAGACCAAAACGACCAAGAGAGGAGTGCTGTCTCACCTAGCCAAAATCTATGACCCTCTGGGACTAGTGTCACCGGTAACACTTATTGGCAAACAGCTCTACCGCGACATTTGTGACAGCAAAGTACCTTGGGATACTCAACTTCCAGGACCGTTGCTGAAATGCTGGAAGGACTGGAACAAGACACTAACCGAGAATTTCACAGCCCAGCGAGCACTTGCTCCCTTCCACCAACCGATTTTGAGCGTCACATTACACGCATTTGGTGATGCTAGTACAAAGGGCGTCAGTGCTGCAGTCTACGCTGTGGTCCATCAAGATCAAGGCGTCACTCAGCAACTAATTTGCGCGAAGTCAAGACTCGCAAAGAAGTCCCTAACGATACCAAGACTCGAGCTTGTTGCAGGTCATATGGCCGTTAACTTGGTAGCCAACATACAAGCAGCCTTAAGTGTCCAACCATACAGCACCCATTGCTGGCTTGACTCAACCGTGGCACTCTACTGGATCAAAGGTCAAGAGGAGTATCGGCAATTCGTATCAAACCGAGTGAACAAGATCCAACAACACGGGTACGTCAGTTGGCATCACGTCCCAACCGAAGACAATCCAGCAGACCTGGAGAGTCGAGGAGGGAATGTGGTCAACAACAACCTCTGGAATCATGGTCCAACCTGGCTTAGCGATACTGCAAATTGGCCACCTGACATAATACTCGAACCTACGCCCGAAACCATGACTGAAGCCAAAGTGAAACGAGAAGTTCTCTCTGTTGCCGTTCCCAAACAAGATGCTCTACACCACGTACTTATTAACCACTCATTACCAAGAGGTCTACGAATTGGAGCTTGGGTCTGGCGATTTGTTCATAACTGCAGAGGAAAGCCACTGAAAAGAAGGAGTGGTCCAATCAACACTGAAGAGATTCAACAACAAGAGCTTTTTTGGATCAAACAAGCCCAACAATCGGCGCTCCAGCTAGCCAATTTTGAAGAAGACAGACTGCAGTTAAACCTTCAGTACAACGATCAGAAGGTCTTAGAATGCCGAGGACGTATCATGGGAGAATATCCGATCTATCTTCCAGATGAGCATCCCTTCACTGCAAAGTTGGTCTTTAATGCCCACCTTTCCACCCTGCATGGAGGGGTTGGGCTCACCATGGCAAAGATACGCGAGAAATACTGGATACCCCGTCTACGACGCCTAGTAAAGAAGCTAAGAGGTAGCTGCTACGGGTGCAAAAGATTCCGAGCCAGAGCCTACCAAGCACCACCGCCAGGGAATCTACCCCGAACCAGAACAGAAGGTTCAAGGCCCTTTCAAGTGATAGGAGTTGACTTCGCAGGACCAATACGCTACACGTCTAGAGCCAAAACCGAAAGCAAGGCCTATTTGGTGTTGTATGCTTGCAGCCTGACCAGAGCAGTTCACCTTGACCTGTCAAAATCCCTGGAAACGTCAGAGTTCATAGCGAGCCTCAAGCGGTTCATAGCCCGAAGAGGGAGACCGGAAATGATCTATTCCGACAATGGATCCACTTTCAAGGCCGCCGAGAAATGGTTACTACAGGTGCAAAAAGAGGAAAGGTTCCATGAGATCCTAGCTGACCTGGCAATTAAGTGGCGTTTCAACCTGAGTCGCGCCCCATGGTGGGGAGGTCAATTCGAACGCCTTATTGGCCTATTCAAAGGTGCCTTCTACAAAACCATTGGCAATGGGACTCTCCACTGGCCTGAATTGGAAGAAGTAGTACTTGACGTCGAAGTAGCGCTCAACAACCGCCCCTTGAGCTACCTCGAAGACGACATCCAGCTTCCAGTGCTGACGCCCAACTCCATGCTGAGCATCAACCCAAATTACCTCCCAGAACTACAAGCACACCATGCACCAGAAGACGATCTGAGGAAAGGGCTAAATTTCTATTGAAGTGCATGGATGTTATGTGGAAAAGATGGACAGCAGAATACATGAGAAGTCTACGAGAGAGCCACCGTAGAGCAGGAGGGAAGCAAACGCCCCATCCTAACATCGGAGATGTCGTCATCATTCGAGGTGACAGCAAAAACCGTAACCAATGGAAACTGGCAATTGTCATCGACCTCATTCGAGGAAAAGATAGCATTGTTAGAGCCGCTAAGTTGAAAGTAGGCAAAGACCACCTCAAGCGTGCATCCCAACACCTTTACCCTTTGGAGTTAGCATGCACCCAATGGCCATCGAGTTCAACGCTCAACCCATCTGCCCCCGAGTTCCAGGCAAAGCCTCGAAGGGATGCTGCTGCTGCCGCAGCAGTTCGCGTTCAACAGATCGCCGAACAATCAGAACACTGAACGTCAGCCGTACTAGGTCAACTTTATCTTGAACGTTCAAACAACGAACACTTATTCTAGGTTACCGCTTTATTCGCCTTTGTTTTGTTCGAAGCTCTGTGCCCAGTCCAAGAAGTAAACATGTAACTCCCTTCCAGGGACATTCATGGGGGAGGGTGTCGGGGACTGGGGCACATATTACGTAATTATGTAACCCGTGACAACGGAAGCACGTGCTTATTATTGAGAGCCTGCCCCCTTTTTAGTTGTTAATTCGAATCTATTGGACAGAGAGTTAGATTGACCGTGATTGTGCAAAGACCTTGTGAATCTTGCGATTATTAAACACGTTAACTTCAAATTTGTGACTTGTCTTGGATACTGTCTCCAGCGGCCGGAGGAGTCCAGCAAAAGAAATCCTGATTGCATTCTACAGACTGTGACACCCAAACATGATCATGAGCAAGTTTATGTCCCCTGTCACCCCTCACAAGTTTCTTACCAAAAGCACATGGGAGGGGTTGATCTTTCTGATCAACTGATCAAAAACTTTTCTGTTACCAGAAAGTCAAGGAAGGCTTGGGAGAAGTCCCTGAGTTATGACTTGAAGGTGTACTTACTGGATTCTTTCATCATAATGAGTAAAGCCAAACCTCTATCAGCCCAGAAGTTTATTGATTATCAGGTGGTTTCTTAACTCCTTGGTCGAAGGTTATTTCAAAGAAAGTCTGAACAACCTCCAACCCTCCCACTCATGGAAAGAGATGAGAAGAGGCTCAGTGACCAAAGGCATTCCTTGGAGGTTACACAAGCAAGGAAAGATTGTGAAGTCAGTGCCAAAGAGGCTTTAGATGAAATCCTCGGAAAGAACCTCTGATACAAGTCATTCATTGTGTGTGTGACCTGCAACCATACTCCACTGTGTCAACAAGGGCGGGAATTGCTGGGGAAAATGGCATGTGGAATGCATTTACTGGCAACAATGGGAGACTAAGATAATTTCTAAGAGTATTTCAACATTTCTGACTGAACCTCGTTTATACATAGTAACTTTTTGAAGTTCAACAATGTGAAGTTTTGCATTTAATGATTTTTGTATCTGGTAAACAAAAATCAAGAAGTGATTCTCCAAAGTTGTTTTATTATACAAGATTGTCAACCTAGTTTTTTTTAAATATTTTTTTTCAATTCAAATAAAGTAAATTCAAATTTACTTTCAGAATATCATAGCTGTGATAAATTGCATGCCAGTCTTCACACAAGGCATTTACTTGGGTCAGTAGTTATGCTCAAGCAAATACTCTTCAACTTGCCAATCAGACGCAAATAACAAAAAGTTGTGTAACTTTTTAACTATTTATCATAATTACAAGCTGTTTTTTCGATTTTGATCCTTATAAAGTGTGTAAACTTGATGGAATAAAAGCAGATTAATCAGTTTCTTCCTTCTGGGGTGAAAGGTGACATTATTCAGAATTTAATGATCTTTCATCAATAGTGATTGTGTGTAATAAGCACCATGGAAGATTAAGACAGCCTTTGTGCCTAACTAAACTCACTATTTCATATAGATAATTTTAAAATGATAATAAATATATATAATTTGTTCTATTTAAGTGGAAACCTGATGATCTGTGAGGTGAAACATACCATTGGGTGTGGTTACAAATATTACCTCACCCAAAAAATTGGGCCTTTACCGGTTAAACCTTACTCCAGTCAATAACAATTTCCACTGACAATCAGATATTTATGTACACTGATGCTAATGAGTTTCAAAATTTAGAGGACCACATTAATGGCATCATTAACTCATCAAATACATATAACTATGGTGTAATTATTGAATGTAATATGTCAGTTAGGTTTTTTTGGTCAAGAGCAATGGGCTTTTTGCTATCATTGACAGCCACAAGCATGTAAATAGCAATGTTGGTGGCATGATTGTCATGACAAATGACCCTAGGGGAGTTATCATTGAATTCTCTAATTGCCTGTCAAGAAAATGCAACCTCACTTAGGACTGGGAACCCTCAACAAGGTAAAATATACATCATGATCAGTTTCATTGTGACAAACAATAAGTTAAAAGGCGATGCGTCATTAATTTAGGCTTCTTTTTTCATACTTAAATTGCTGAGAATTTGGGAAATTACTGTCAAATAAAATGTAATAGGGACCTGTTATCAGATTAGTTCTTAACTTATTAGTAAATAAATGAAACATTCCAGGAAATTAAAGAGTCCACTTTGATTTCTTCCAGAGTACCATTGTTAGTTTCAATTAATAGGGTAACCTATAATTTCAGTTTTTTGCAACAACACAACAACTAGTGGTGATGCTGTTTTTTTTCCAAGTAAATTACAAAATAACCCACGAATTGGTATTAAGTTCTCTTAGAAGAGAGATGAAAACAACCAACTATGACAATCACTTGCATCTAGTTGACAATGTATAGGGCTTGAGTTTAGGTCTGAGCACTCCATAAGCATCCACAACTTTGCCCTCATTCTTGAGGTCCCTTTCTTTTATCCACGTGTTTGCTTACTTGGACACTTAAGCTTTGGATAGATCACTCATGAGGATAGACATGCAACAAGCAATTGAAAATTGGGTGACTTGAACCCAGCTGATGATGTCTCGTAGCTTGAAACCTTCACAGCTACACTTAAACTGTTGCTGGCTATAAGGACTGAAATTCCTTTGGCAGCCAGAATCTCCCTGGCCCAATATAGAGCTTTAAGATATTCCAGATAAAGCTTTGGAGCTGAAGAAAGAAGGTCACACCAATGTAGAGAACTTTTGTGACTGTAGCATGACAATTCGTCACGCTAACAAACTTGTGACTATTGTTTTGTTTTTAGCTATTGTCGATTTCATCTCGAGTTTCAATAATGTGATATCTCGTTTTGCCGGTAAGAAACGCGTGATCTTTAGAATCTTTTTGTGATCATTGGAGTGAATTCAGAACAATAAATAAACAGAAAACTTGTGGATTTACGTGAGTCTTCAGTGTCTCTGGGAATCAGGAAACTCCCCACACCAATTACACTAACCTAAGCACTGAACTTAGTACTCATCAGGCAAACCTGCTTCCTGAAAGTTTCCCAGCCATGACCAAAGGTGTCATACATCTGATATTCAGCAGTTGCTCTGATTGGAACAGACTCAGGCATAGACTGTTACTACCATAGTCATCACAAGACTTGTCCAACATTCGGCCTACCCTCAAGAGATTAAAGACCTAAAGGCCTGAGGTGAAGTTAAGTCATTCAGTAACATTGTTGGTCTGAATACAGTGCTTGATGACCATGGTATTCTGAGAGTAAGGGGTGCATAGCATCTTCACCAGTTGCTGATGCTGCTAGGAATCAGATAAGTCTGCCAAGCAACAAACATGGTAGTTTACCACATCCACAAATTGGCTATCTTGGCTGCAAGCACTTCATATCAGGGGTAAGTGAGAAGTTCTGGACTCCCCAGATCAGAGTTTTGGCCTGATCCATCCTTGGACAATGTATCCTGAGAAAAAAAGTTGAGTTCCATGACCATGACTCCACAAATGACTGAACTTTCAAGAAGGTACATGATGGCTTATGACCTTCGTATGGCATAGAATGTAAGTAAAATTGTCCCAAGCTCTCCTCTTTCATTTCTCTGGTTTTCATTGTTTTATGACCTTATCATCCAGAACCACTTTCACAATTCACAAGTGAATAAAGTGTAGTTGTCAAAACATATCGTTTTCACTGTGCATCAGTCCTCTTTTGGAAGTTGATTAACATCTGTTGCCAAACCCTGAAGAGTTGTTTGTCACCTTTAGATGGAAAAAGAAATTCAGTAAGCTAGATCTATCAAAGTCTTACAAACAAATTCTTTCACGAGGACTGTATGAAGACATAACTATACAAAGTCCCAAGAGTTTGAGTAGGCCCACTTGTTTATCTTTTGTCTATTATCCGCAGCCCCTAATTTTCAATAAAAAATTGAGCTGGTACTTTTGGTTTTACCAATGGTCATTTTTTCCGAGAGAAATGACCAAAAGCATTTAGTTTATCTTAATGAAATTTAAGTGAGGCTGGGAAGCGCTGCCCTGAGATTTTCAAGAGCAAATTCATGCAGCCTACCATTGGATATGTAGGTTATCACACAGATGGGTAAGGAATACATGCAATTGAGACAAAAGGTTAAAGCCATTAGGAAATGGCCTGCACCCAAAAATCAGCATCAGATGAAGTTGTTCCTCACAATTTTAAATTATTCTTCAAACTTTATAAGTAATTATTTGACTATCACCTATCCATTACATGAATTACATAAAGATGGAGTCAAATAGATATGGTCTATATATCAGCAAAGGTCATTCGATCATTTCAAGGACAAATTGTCCATCGCAACTGTTTTTAAAGCACTTCAAGGAGAAATTACCATTAAAATTAGACACAAAGGCCTCATTACACCCTAACATCTGTTGGATTGAATGAAACTGCTGTGGCAGAGATTGCACATCGATTTTGCAGCTCCCTTTATAGATAAAATGTTTCTGACTGTCATCAATAGTCACTCAAAATAGTTGGAAGTAGAGACAATGTCCAGCATTGCTGGTGAAGCTACAAT